GGGGGGGGGGGGAGATTGGGAGGGATGGCAATATTTTTGATCCCTGTCAAGTCACATGTCTGGTGATTTAAAGGTTTCCTCAACACCTGCTGTTAGATTCCTAAGTTGGAATGTTAAAGGTCTGAACAATCCAGTGAAACGGTCTAAAATATTTTCTCATATGAAACGCCTGAACCCAGACATAATATTCCTACAGGAAACACATTTGCAAAATTCAAATCAAGTCAGGCTCAAATATCCATGGATTGGGGAGATTTATCATTCGAGCTTCAACTCAAAAGCTAGAGGAGTTGCCATAATATTTAATAAGAATATTCATTTTACAGCATCAAGAATAATGAAGGATATAAATGGCAGATTTCTTATAATTGCAGGCTCCTTGTTCCACACTCCTGTTTTATTAGTAAACATTTATGCACCAAACTTTGATAAACCAGATTTTATAAACAATCTAGTTAGCACACTTCCATATCTTGATACTCATTTGTTAATTCTAGCTGGAGACCTGAATTGTGTAATGAATCCATCATTAGATCGCTCCTCATCTCGGTCCTATACACAGTCTAATATGTCTAAATCTATTTTGGATTTTGTGTCCCAAAATGGATATGTAGATCCATGGAGGACACGGAATCCACTAACAAGGACCTATTCTTTTTACTCTCAAATACACCAATCCTATTCCCGTATAGATTATTTTTTTGTTGATAGCTCTTTAATGCAGAGAGTCACGTCTTCTGAATACTATCCGATTGTTATTTCAGACCATTCTCCTCTAAGCATTGATATAAATTTTATAAACAAACCCAATTCTAGTCCTCGTTGGAGATTTAATACTCTCCTGTTATCAGATGAGCCATTTAATAAATTCATCTTATCATCAATTGATGATTTTCTAAGGTTCAATAAGAGCGATACAATTTCTCCCTCACTACTGTGGGAAACATTAAAAGCTTATCTTCGGGGTCAGATTATCTCTTTTTCAGCTAATATTAATAAAAATCTACGCACTAAGATATCAGAAATATCAACAAAAATTCAGAATATTGATAGGCAAAATGCCGTTAATCCGTCACATGATTTGCTGAAACAGCGACAGGATCTTCAGATGGAACTTGATCTTTTAACTACATCTGATGCGGAGCGACTCTTGATACGATCTCGAGCCACTTATTATGAACATGGGGAAAAACCAAGTAGACTTCTGGCACATCAATTGAAACGAAAAGCCGGCTCTCACATAATATCACAAATCAACGATCGGTCGGGCAATCTTGTTTCAGATCCTGTCTCTATTAATGATACTTTTAAAAAATTCTACTGCAATTTGTATAAGTCTGAACTACAAGCAGACTCAAATGAGCTATGTGCCTTTCTTCAGGATATTGACATACCTAGGATAGACAAATTGCTTTCTGACCAACTTGAAGCTCCCATTAAATTAGAAGAAATATTTGCGTCAATTAAGGATATGCAAAGTGGTAAAACACCTGGCTCAGATGGTTTCTCTGCCGAATTTTTCAAAAAATTTAAAGATAAAATAGCCCCTCTTCTTCTTGAGGTTTATAATGAGTCATTTGGGCAGGGCTTGTTGCCTCCCACCTTGACTCAGGCCTCAATTTCTCTCCTGTTAAAGAAGGATAAGGATCCTACTGCCTGCGAGTCCTATAGACCTCTTTCACTTTTGAATGTGGATTTTAAGATTTTGTCTAAAGTACTCGCGACTCGGCTTGAGACAGTTCTCCCTCGGATTATTTCACAAGAACAGAATGGATTCATTAAAGGTCGCCAGTTGTTTTTTAATACTCGTACACTGTTGAATACAATTTTTTCAACTCATTCCTCTAAATCTCCTGAAGTGATAATTTCTCTTGATGCCGAGAAAGCTTTTGATCGAGTGGAATGGGAATATCTCTTTGCTGTTCTTAATGGGTTTGGTTTTGGAGAGAGGTTTGTGTCTTGGATCAAGCTACTTTATACATCCCCTCAAGCATGTATTCTCAGTAATTCCGTCCAATCTGATTATTTTACGGTGGGACGTGGTACTAGACAGGGTTGCCCTCTTTCTCCCCTCTTGTTTGCGTTAGCCATTGAACCCCTATCCGTTGCTCTAAGATCCCTTTCTTCTTTTCATGGAATCGTCCGCTCTGGTGTCGAGCTTAAATTGTCCTTATATGCAGATGACCTTCTCCTGTATGTCTCTGACCCTTTACGGAGTCTTCCCCCAATTTTAAATATTCTAGAAAAATTTGGATCATATTCTGGCTATAAAATTAACTCACTTAAAAGTGAATGCTATCCAGTGAATTCATTAGCTTTAAAGCTTAAGCCTTCTGATATCCCTTTTAGGCTCAGTCCCTCGGGATTTAGGTATTTAGGAATTAATATTACACGTACTTTGCCCTCAATGTTTTCTCAGAATTATGCCTCACTAGTTTCCCAAATTGCATCAGATTTACAGAGATGGAACTCTCTCCCTCTTTCATTGATTGGTAGGATTAATATTATCAAAATGAATGTGCTACCTAGACTTTTGTTTTTATATCAAAATATCCCTCTGTTCTTGCCCAAACAGTTCTTCAGGTCCCTGGATCAGATGGTCTCATCTTTTTTATGGAACGGAAAGGCCCCCAGAATGAGACTTTCTTTATTACAACAGTTCACCACAAACGGGGGTCTTTCTCTACCTAATTTTACAATGTATTACTGGTCCTCACATATCCATAAACTGACTTATTGGTTAAATTCACCTGATCTGATTTGGTGTAAACTTGAAATTCAGTCGATTTCTGCATCTTTTTCGCCCGCTTCAATTATTTATTCATCATTACCAATTAAATTATCCTCAGTTACTACAAATCCTATAGTGCTCTCAACACTCAGGATCTGGTCACAATTTAGGTCCCACTTTAAATTTGTATCACCCTCTAATAAAATGCCGTTACTAAAGAATCACATTTTTTCTCCAGCATCTAATAATGCTGCCTATAGAATTTGGTATGAGAAAGGTATTAGAACAATGAGAGACCTGTACGAAGATGGTTTATTTCTTAGTTTTTCAGAATTGTCTTCTAAATTTAATCTACCCACTTCACATTTGTTTCTTTACTTCCAAATTAGGCATTGCGTTTCATCGCAGTTTCAAAATTTTCTAGCTTTGCCTACTGACCCACCATGGGTTGAACTCTTAGTTTTGAGCCCCAATTTGAAATCTCCTCTTTCAATTATTTATGGAAAACTTATGGCAATAGAGGCTGATTCATCGGGTAAAACTAGAACTGCATGGGAACGTGAACTGGGTGTTAAACTATCAGATTCATGGTGGGATAAAGTTATTCTCAGCATACGTCAGAGTACACCATGTGCCAGACTACAGTTAATACAATTTAAAGTAATAAATAGAGTACACTTCTCAAAAACACGTTTATCTAAAATGTTCCCCTCAATACCAGACCAGTGCGATAGATGTCAGACTTCACCTTGCAACTTAAGTCATATGTTCTTTTTCTGCCCAAAACTGCAAGGGTTTTGGAAATATTTTTTCTCCATACTCTCAGGAGTTTTTAAGATTCAGTTTCAAAGTGATCCACTTATTGCTATTTTTGGAGTTCCTGGGACCACACTTAATCTATCCCGCCAGCAGGGGGAGGTCTTGGCCTTTTGCTCTCTCCTTGCCAGACGTTGTATTTTGCTCGCCTGGAAATCTCCCACACCACCATCCACATCACAATGGCTTAATACTGTAAGATTATACTTGAAGATGGAAAAAATTTTACTAACAGTGAAAGGTAGTTCAGAAAAATTTACCCACAAGTGGACACCCTTTGTGTCATATGTAAAATCTTTACCTTCATAGCGTATAGACTGATATGATTGACTCATCACATTACCATGTGACTTGTTTTTAGAGGATAAATGAAAGACTGAAATACTGTTTTCCTTTTGGTTTGTTGGGTCCCTCCTGTTCGTTCCTCCTCCCCCTCTCTCTCTTTTTTTTTTTTTTTTTTTTATTTATTTTTTTTTTTTTTTAGTTTCTTCTTTCCTTATTTTGTCTTGTTTTTGGTTAAGGGGGAAGGGGAGGGAGGGGAAGAGGGGAGGGAGGGGGGAAAGGGGGAAGGAAAAAAAAAAAGAAAAAATTGGAGAAGTCATGTAAATTCTGTTTAATGTATGTAATGTCAATTATATATTCTCCTGATAAATAAAAATTAAAAAAAAAAAAATAAAGTGTTGTAATCATCAAAATGACATTTGAAAACGAGAGAAGTGAGGAAAACGTGCATCTGGCTACTGATTTCATCACTGCAATATTCAACTGCCTTTTAAAACGTACACGAGATCCTCATCTCAAGGCTTAAGCAGAAGGTGGACATCACATAGTCAGTGCTCCAATACATTAGGTTCCACCTCTCTGATAGAAGTTAATATGTCAACATCAATAATTTTGTTTCCACCTCTGAACCTCTCCTGTGGGTGGTACCACAAGGTTCTATTCAAGTTATTTTTCTTTACTTTATACCTGCTTATGCAGATGATTGTTAAGTACAGTTCCCTCGGAGGCGCACTGATGTATGCTTTGTCCAGCCTCTCCTTGACTCCCTGGTTGACATCAGAAGTTGGATGACATGAAATTTTCTGAATTTCTTTGAGAAGAAAACCCAAGTTATATTGTTTACAACCACTGGCCTCAGCAGGAAACTGCACTGATCTTTCCTCTCTTCCTCTTATGAGAAAAACATTATCACATATCTGGGAGTGAATGAATCCTTCCCCAAAACTAAACAATCATGTAAACACAAAGTGATCCCTCACCTATCACAGGGGTTACGTTCCAGAGACCCAAGTGATAGGTGAAAATCCGTGAAGTAGCAGAGTTACATTTATTTTATTATTTATATAGAGAGCAAGGCTTTATAAACCTTTCCCACACTCTTACATATCCATGCGCACCTACTGTGTGGGCCCCACGCCCGTCTATATAAATTGCACTGAGACAGGAAATAGACTCCCAAATAGCATTTGTCTTCAGCCATTTAGAAGCCAGTAAGGCCCAGATCTTAAAAGGCTGTGCCTATACTCATAATCTGGAGTTACAGTATGTAACCAATGTTCTATTACATATACAGCAGGCTTTGCCCTTTAAAGCTATGGCTAGTGGGTTTAAGGCGAAGCAGGATGTGCCTCACTGGGTCCATTCAGAACCACAATCACACAGACATCTGCTTACACTCTTTGAAACAATCCATATTGAGCCTTCGAATCACGAGTTTATGTGCCACTTACATGCCACTGAATCAGTGCACCTGAGATGCGCTGAGCAGCAGAGAGAAATAATCTCTACGTCAGACTGAAGGTTGAAATGTCAAACCTGCTGCTGTGAGAACAGGCAGGATGGAGAAGTCAATAAAACATTTGCAACATCACTCTGATAAAACTCTGAGGACAGAGGAAGTCCAGGAGAAGCTGGAGACATCACGCAGATAAAAATGAATGAATGAGCACGGAGAAGCCCAGGAAGCTGCTATGCAGATGTCCTGCACTGACACTTCTCTGTGTAAAGCCATGGAGGATGAGATTCCTCATGGTGGGAGTGGGCTCTGAGCTCCTCTGGAGGCTAAGATCCAGAGGAAACATATGCCTGTGAAACAGCCTCCTACAGCCAGTGTGACAGGCGCTAAGCAGACAGAGGAAGACCTTGAGACTGATCACTGAAGTGTACATACGTTGAGAGCAGTGTGATGTGGCCATGCACGTGATGTAGCAGGAGAGCAAAAAAACACTGATCTCATTGCTGATCGGGTGCTGATCTCATTGCTGCTGATTCATTTCATGCTGCTGTGTTCATTTGTGCTCGCCTGCTCACACAGACTCATGTTCAAGCTGCTGTTGTTCAGCTTATTGTATTTGTACTACTAGTGCTTAGCGTATTTTTAGTTTAACATATTTCTTAGTTCATATCTTAGGTCTTATTACTGTTTTTTACAATTTACACTTTTGTTGGATGTAACTGGGACCCTGTGTACACTATTTAGTTCCAGCACATGTACCACATGTGGTGCGAATGACAAATAAAGAAACTTTGACTTTTGACAAACAACAAAACTGCCTGCTGCAACAAATCGTCATTAGATTTTCAGCTTTAACATAATACGTTTTGCCCTTCAAACTCTAAATACTTGGGAAAGTTATGCAAGCTGGCATGCTAAATAGAGATGGTAAATAGTTTGTTAGCATGCTGACATTAGCATTTGATTCAAAATGCTGCTACATGCACACAAGTACAACACCAGGCAGCTGGTTGCAGACTCCTAACAGCTGTTTGTTCTCTGCAGTATTCAACACCACAGAAGATGGATGGCTCATATACAATGACAGCCAATACTACATCAACAATGATATCTTACCGATGGAAGCTGCCAGAGCCTACTGCAAGAAAGGCTTTGGTGAACTTGCAGTCCTAACAGGGGAGAGTGAGAGGAAGTTCCTCTGGAAAAATGTGAGAAATTGCTTTAGAAACAAACATGGGAGGTCAAAATGGCCACGATATTACACCTATTCATTCACCAGTCTGTTTCCACAAACAGTAAACATTAGGTTTAGCTAAAGTCTTACTTATGTTTCTGTTTACACAGATAGCAAAAGGTTCTCAAAACCAGTACTACATTGGCATGATGGTGAATTTGGATAAATCTTTTAGGTAAATTAATCTACAATTTTAATGCAAAGCAATCAGAATGATTCCTATATGCTTGTAGGCTAATTCAAGTCTTTGAAAATGCTTACATATTCTCTTTTTTTTTTAGCTGGGTAGATGGAACACCTGTAACTTACACTGCATGGGAACACAATGAACCCAACTTTGCAAACAATGATGAAAATTGTGTGACGATGTACAAAAGCATGGGTAAGTCTAATTCAGAAACATCCCATTTTATGCTGGTTTAGTAAATATGATCAGCTCAATATTTCCCATTGTCACTTCCCTCTATAAATTCTGCATATTCAGGTTATTGGAATGACATAAATTGTGGTTTTAAGCTTCCGTCCATTTGCAAAAGAAGCAGCAGTTTTATCAATGCAACAATAGTACCAACGGCAGTTCCTAGAGGAGGATGTGCGCCCGAGTGGCTTGCTTTTCAAGGAAAGGTAATCACAAAAAATAAATAACTAAATATATCACACAACAAAGACTACTTAGTCTATCCATCCATCCATATCTTTACTCGCTTCTTCCTTTTTGGGTCGCGGGGGTCACTGGTGCCCATGTCCAGCCATCACTGTGCACGAGGTGGGGGAGACCCTGGACATGTCTCCAGTCATCACAGGGACACATAGAGAGAGACAAACGAGACAAACAACCATTCATTCTCTCACTCACAACTAGAGACAATTTAGAGTTACCAATCAGCCTAACATGCATGTTTTTGGTCTGTGGGAGGAAACTGGAGTACCCGGAGAAAACCCATGCATGCACAGAGAGAACATGCAAACTCCACCCAGAAAGGTCCCCCGGACCGGGATTTGAACCAAGGCAACCTGCTTGCTGAGAGGCAGCAGCTACCAACTGCACCACCATGCTGCTTACTTATTAGTCTAATGTAGATATATTTAGAAAAAAATGTTTTCATGCTTCCAAACTTCTAGGTATACGTGGTACTGGTCAGCTTCTGTGGGTTCAAATCCGATCCAAATTTCTGAATTTAAATATCAGCCAATATTGATATTTTCAGCAGAAGTGTCTGCTGGGCACTTTTCACCTGATTGTTAATCCATCCATCCATTATCTTTACCCGCTTATTCCATTTTGGGTCACGGGGGTCACCGGTGCCCATGTCCAGCAATCACTGTGTGAGGGGCGGGGTACACCCTGGACGGGTCGCAAGTCCATCACAGGGCCACATAGAGACAAACAAGTCAAACAACCATTCACTCTCTCACTCACACCTAGGGACAATTTAGAGTTACCATTCAGTCTAACATGCATGTTTTGGGTCTGTGGGAGGAAACCGGAGTACCCGGAGAAAACCCACGCATGCACGGAGAGAACATGCAAACTCCACCCAGAAAGGCCCCTGGACCGGGGTTTGAACCAAGGACCTGCTCGCTGAGAGGCAGCAGCTCTACCAGTTGCGCCACCGTGCTGCCCCCCTGATTGTTAATACAGCACAATATTTACTTCTGAATATTTGCATTGCACACATAACTTGCTGTCTTGACTTTCTTGGTCAGTCAATACTAAAAAAGTGTCAGTGAAAGAACGAATATTCTATACAATAACATTATGATTAAAAACTAGCCTGATGTAGGGTCAGATGGGTTTCAACTCCAATACTCACCAAATGTAACTTATTGACTCTGACCATAGTTTTAAGGACAGTGGGGATTTATATGGCAAATTTGTCTTGTTAATACAGTGCTACAAATTTTTTACGAGTGACAAGAAGAACTGGGAGGATGCCAGGACAAATTGCATTCAAGAAGGAGGTAATGTGGTGTCCATAGTCAACGAGAAGGAGCAAGGTCAGTCCTACTAGCAATGCTACTACACATTACTAACCAATATTATGATTACTGTTTGTCTGCACATAGTTTAAATTTCGAACGAGTTGAGAAATCTTGTTTTCTCTTTTCCAGCATTCTTAACAACACAGATGTTATACTACAGTGACGATCTGTGGATTGGAATGAATGATGTCAACTGGGAGATGCATTTTGTGTGGACAGATGGCAAAGGCATTTCATACACCAACTGGGCCAAAGGGCACCCTTCAGCTGATGGGCGTTATTTTAATGACGAGGTTATTGTGACCGTATACACACACACACACACACACACACACACACACACACACACACATATATATATATATATATATATATATAATTTATATACATGTATTTTGAGAACACACAGATAAAACTGAAAACTAACACACCTTGTTCTTCCTGACAGGTGTTTGACTGCGTGATCATGGTAGGCAGCACCAAAAAGCTGCAAGGACAGTGGAAGGTGGAGGACTGTAGTGCAAAACATAGCTTCATCTGCAAAAAAAATGTTGGTGAGTAACATCACATTTTGTGGAGGAACAAGAAACAAGTGCAAGTCCTTGCAAAACCAATTCATGCATGAAAAAAAACTCATATTTGACTAAACTATTTCAGTTAACAGTTTGCCATTCTGGTATTTTCAAACATTTCTTACAAGTATGAATGAACATAACTGAAGGGAAGCAGTCAACCAACCAGCCAGAGTCATCTGTTTTTGCACAATCGCTTGAAAATTGAAACCAAGAATCACTTAATCAAAAATAAAGCATGAATTTTGAAACAACCTTGTAATTTATAAAAATAAGTGACCATTTACGGTCTAAATTTGCGAAAACAGAGCACTTAAAATCTTTAATGATTTGATGTGTCTGGCTGATTGACAAGAAATAAGGGAGATACTGAGCTGCTGGTTGAAATACTGTAATGGAAATGTTACAAAAAATGTATATTTTAAGAGGGTAACTCAGCCTGGAATGTGTAACAGGTTGGACGTTTTCAGGTCTTTGCGTCTAAATTTTGGATGCAAGTGCAAAAACTGGAAAGTTGTAAAACCAAAACATTAGCGAGAAAAAAGCTTCTAGAAAATAAACATGAATGAATGTCTTTAAAAGTAAAAAAAATGAATATCCAATAAAATAAAATAGGTTAGAAATGGCAGTCAGTGTTTGTCACTGAATCTCAGGGAATCAGCAGAAGAAAATCAACTTTATGGACAGAGCCGCCTGACTTAAACCATCAGTAACACCTAAACATAGATCAAACACTTGGCTGCTGTGGACTGTACTGACAAAAGTGCAACACAAGTACAAATAGCATTCTAACCAATGAGTCATCAGGAGAAAAACATCACTTATATTCAGGTAATAATAACCTTGTCAAGCATTAACTTGTGCATCTTGTTCATTCAGACCACCAGATTGTAGTTCCACCCACCACTGTCTCACCAAAGACCTTTTACAAGATAGGCAATGACTCCTACAAAGTGGTGACTCAGAAGATGAGGTGGGATGAGGCTCGGAGACTGTGTCAGGCAGATGATGCTGATCTGGCCAGTATCCTAACCCCTGTAATCCAGGCATACATCACCTTGCAGATTTCCAAGCTCAAAGAGCCTATCTGGATTGGCCTCAATAGCAATGTGGTAACTGTCCACCTGTTTTTGAATCATTTAGTTTCAAGTACAACTTTAAATGTAATTTTATTTTAAATTATCATAATTATTATTATTTTCAGACAGGGGGTCGCTACAAGTGGGTTGACAACTGGCTTCTCTCCTACACAAAATGGGGCAAGAATGAGCCAAAAAGGAACTATGGTTGTGTGTATATAGATGTGGACCACACATGGAAGACATCACCGTGCACCACGACCTACTATTCTATTTGCAAAACATCTCCAGGTTAGGCAATTTTCTTTTCCCACTTTTTTATGAAACACTGACCTAACTTTTTTTTTTTTTTTTAACACTGGGCTGAAATGTGCATTTTGTTTCCCACAGAGGTAGCTCCGACGGAGCCGCCACAGCTTCCTGGCAACTGTCCAGAGTCGAAGAAACAAAGACCATGGATACCTTTCAGAGGTCATTGCTATGCTTTCTTAAGCTCAATGGTGGACAACTGGGCCCAAGCCTCAGTTGAATGTCTGAAAATGGGTAAATATTATTATTTTTTTGTTTTTGATACATTATTTCTTTATGCATAAACTATAACTCTGTCATTGGTGTTGTCAGGTGCATCTTTAGTGAGCATCCAAGACCCAGTTGAGGAGAAGTTTATACAGCAGACTATTGAACTTCTGCAGGATAGTGCAAAATCTTTCTGGATTGGTCTTTACAAGTCTCATGACGGTAAGAATAATGAAGTTAAACTCTGATTATGTGTCTTTACAAATACTACAACATCCCTTGATCTCATTTGAAAACCTATTTGAAATAATACGAGAACAACCAGCTGCCACAGATTTTATGATGGCAAGAATATGTCACGTCAACCAAGTAAAGAGAGGTGTTCCTATTTATAATCATTCTTAGACAAGTTGTTTTTTGGTCAAATTTATTTTAGGGAGAAAAAAAACAGAGGGAAGTGATACTATATGCAAGTCTGAGTACACTTCTATCAGAAGCTTGCTTTTAATTCCTGAGCATGCACCGAAGAGCAGAGGTTTCAGAATTGTTCAGAAATTCTTGTAAATGTGAAGCAGTTGTGATAAAAAGTAAAATTCAGCCTGACCATCTAAACAAAACTTACTTTCATCCTTTGAAGCTTAAACAACCATATGTGGTTTTTGACTGCATTTACAACTGCACCGAAGAATAAAGATTTCGTTATATACACCAAATAAATAAAGCACATTTTAGGAGCAATGGTTAATTCAGTATAGCTTTACTCGCTAAAGAAATGTGTCTTGCTTCCAGATGAGTGGATGTGGATTGATAACAGCATTGTGGACTACACCAACTGGAAAACAGGAATGCCAAAGTCAGACTTGTGTGTGAACATCCATTCTGACAGTGGACAATGGAGCACAACCACCTGCAGCAGATACAGGTCTTACATCTGCAAAACACCTAAAAGTAAGTAAAATCTGATATTTTTTTCCCATTTCCAAGTCATCAATCGATTACGTACACTTACTACTTTCTATGTATATATATTTTAGCTATAAAAGCCACAGAAAAGGTTCCATCTGCTGGTAAGTCAATAAAAAACTATTTGAAAAGGAACTGCATTACATTTCATGCTAAAGCTGCCTAACTGGTAACACTTCTGTGTTCCCTCCTTAGCTCCTGTCATTCAAGAAGCTTCACATGGATCTGCTGGCATCACCGTGGCTGTGGTGCTGACGATAATTGCCATTGCTGGACTCGGTGCCTTCCTGCTTTTCCGCAAACGGATACAAATACCCACTCCTGCTCTTGGAGACTGCACCTTTGACAACAATTTATACTTCAACAATCTGACCCGAGCTCCCGTAGACACTAGAGGCCTGGTGGACAATATAGAGCAGAATGAGCAAGCATAGGAAGATACTGTATGTGAAATGCTGATCCGCACAAAAGAGAAATGATCCAGAGTATTTATGTGGTAGTCTCATCATTTTCAGAAGACTAGCTGAAAGATTTTAACTATAAAAATTTACAAGTCTTGCTGCAAGCACTGACATCGCACTTAGTAAAATATGAACAAGATAATGTTTTTTTTTAAAAAAAGCAAATTAAAAATGTTATTTGTGAAATCTGTAGAAATTTTCTCTTTTGTCTAACCAGTGTGACCAAAAATATTTGCATGTTCAAATAAAGATGAATATGTTTTTCAATGCAAGCTGGAAGAGCTACCGTTTCAATGAACTGTTTATGAGCCTCTTTCTTATACTGTAAATAGATATCAATTAAATGAAAATAAATTAAACAAAGTTGTCTTTTTTTCCTCCACCTTTTAGGATTTTAAGTATTAAAATTACCAGTAAATGTGCAAACTTTGTATACTGTATCGAATGTGTTGTACTTTAAAACCACCCAACACTGCTGAATAAACTAGAAGGAAAATAATAACCACTTTAGTTTTCCTAAACTTACATCAATAATTCAGATTTTTTTTTTAAAGTCAGGGTCAGAGCAATTATCCCACCTGTTGTAGATTGCTCCTTGATTGCCCTCAGTTTAGTTAACAAACAGATATCATATAGCCCAAGTGGAGCCAACACCAAAATGGATTGATGCCATTTTAAATAAACTCCTATTTAATGTTTTATAACAGTTTATGCAAACATAGTTTAAAAAAAATCAGTTTTGCATTACACTGATATTTATACATAAGCTTCTACTTTTTTTTTTGCAAGTGCAAATAGTGGACGGAGAACTATCCATTCTTTTTCACTTTTTGGTACTTTATTTTGTACCATTATTGCATGCTTTAGGTTTTTTGTTTTTTTTGTTTTTTAGTTTTGGACATTTGTTATGATGCGTAACCATGGCAACAAGGCAGTTTTCTACAACCAACTGCAGCTGATTAACATCTCAAAAGCTCAAATAATATCTCAACTACAGCCACAAATCTCAAATGAGTTGAAAAGGAGGCTCTGTGGATGCACTCTCAGCAACCTGCCAGCTGTGCTTGAGTGCCTGACCACTGAGATCCTGGAACTAGCAGGAAACACGGCTCATGACAGCGGAAGAATAGGATCGTCCCTTGGCACATACAGTTGGATGTCCGCAGCGACGAGGAGCTCGGCAGACTGATGGGAGGAGTGGCCATCGCTTTGGGAGGAGTTCTGTTTCAGTTTCTTAGGATCCATAGGATCCACTGTGGGATGGACCTTTACAAGAGATCCTTCCTGTTTACATCCATCAGTATCTATAACATCTCTTAATGCAATGAGGATAACAAGTTACAACAACAAATAATTTCCCTTTGGGATTAATAAAGTGTTTTTGAATTGAATTGAATTGTTTAGCGAGTTAAATCAGTTCTTCTCATACTGAACATTTCATTGCATTGTCAACCTTGTGTTAACCTGCATATGACAAATAAATAATATAACATAACATTAGAGCTAGACCGATATATTGGTAGGGCCAATATTTTAGGCAGATATGCATTTGGGGACATATCAGTACGAGTGATAATTGGCCCATTATGCACCGATATACACACTTCTAATATTCATCTCTAAAATGCTGGTCCCCAGCTAAGATTCGATCCTGCAAACTTCTTGCTGAGAAGCAATAGCTCTAACAACTGAGCCACTGTGCCGCTTGGAAGCAGAACTAGTTGAAGCCTTTTGGTTGCTACTTGGAGACTTCCGTTAAGAATATCACAATATTTCTGCCTAAATTACTGCGTAATGTGACAATTGACAATAACATAAAGGTTTATAAAATTTGTAATTACAATTTTATATAATTATTTAACAAAATTTATTTATATAGCACATTTACAGCATGTAAAAAAATCACATAAAACAACAAGTGCAAAGAAATAAGTGGGAATTAACAAACTAAAATCAGGAAACATTGCAACCTCATAATTATGATGAAACTCAAACTGATCTTGAATTAAAAGCCAGTGTAAAGAACTTACTTTTCTGGGGGTGATTAAAATATTGTATAGACTCTGCAGTACGGGAGGTTATGGTGAGGCTACGTGCTAATGCTAAAGCTGGAAAACTCCCGATACCATCTCTCTTTCTGTCGAACGTCTGCTCATTGGACAACAAGATGTATTTGCTTCGTCTGAGAGCAGGCACCTCAGAAGAGGTGATGAAGTGTGTGGTGCTTTGCCTCACAGAAACATGGATTACAAGCGAAATGCCAGATTCAGCCTTCTAGCTGGATGACAGACTCTTCTTTTTTTTTTGAGCGGATCATTGCAGCGAGCTAACGGGGAAATGGAGGGGAGGAGGACTGTGCATTTACGTGAGTAAAAGTTTGTGCTGGCCTGCCCCCACTGAGACATTCCAGATCGGTACAAAAGAAAGTTAAATCTTGTATCCAGGACAGTGGCCTCATACTAAGATATTGTTTTGAAAGAACAGACTGTGAGGTCTTCAGAGAAGCTGCTGAAAATGAAGGGGCACTATATCTGGACCAATATACATCCGCAGTTCTGGGGTACAGTAGTACATGTACTAACAACGTTTCCACCATAAGATAAGTTAAAAGTTACCCGAACAGAAAACCTTGGCTGAATGCAGAGGTGTGCACCCTGCTGGAAGCCAGGAGCACTGCTTTCAGGTCTGGAAACTCACAGGAGCTGAGAAGGAAAAGGAAAGAGCTGGTTGCTGGTATTAAGAGAGCCAAGGCCACATATGCACATAGGGTCGAGGGTCAATTCACCTCACAAGACCAACGGAGCATGTGGAGGGGCATTAGGTGTATAACAGATTATAAAGGCAGGCGCGAACAATGCCCCAAAGACCCATCTCTGCCTGATGCCCTCAAGAAGTTCTATACATGCTTTGAAGACCCGAACAGACCACCCAGCACCAAACTCACCTCACCACCGGATGAAGAACTTCTCAGCATGCCCTCAGCAGAATTAAGGAGTACTTTCAGGAGGATTAATGCTCACAAAGCAACCGGCCCAGACAACATCCCCAGGAAAGTGTTGATAGAATGTGCTGATCAGCTCTGCGAGATGCTGGCTGACATTTTTAACAGCTCACTTACCCTGGCGAACGTTCCCACCTGCCTGAAGACCGCCACCATCATCCCAGTTCCAAAAAGCTCTACAGTGACTGGTCTGAATGACTATCGGCCAGTGGCCCTCACCCCGATAGTCGCTAAATGCTTCGAAAAACTGGTCATGACCCACATCAAAACAACCATCAACATCAATGAGGACCCTCATCAGTATGCATACCGTGAGAACCGATCAACAGAGGATGCCATCTCCTCTGTGGTCCTGGAGAAGAAGGACTCCTACGTCCGTATGCTCTTTGTGAACTTCACGTCTGCCTTCAACACCATGATTCCCCAAACACTAATGGACAAACTACTCACACTAGGACTAAGCCCCCCCATTTGCAACTGGGTACTAGACTTCTTAACAAACAGACCTCAGTCAGTGAGGATCCACAACTTCTCTTCCTCCACCATAACCCTAAGTACTGACTCCCCTCAAGGATGTGTGCTGAGCCCTCTCCTGTTCACTCTGCTCACATATGATTGTGCATCTACCCATCTAGGCTGTCACATTGTAAAGTTTGCAGATGATACAGCGGGGGTGGGATGCATCACAAACAAGTATGAGTCCAGCTACAGGCAGGAGGTGGAACACCTGGAGAGCTGGGGTGAAGATAATTACCTTCACATCAATGTGAAGACAAAGGAGATGATTGTGGACTTCAGAAGGAACAAACACACCTACACCCCAAGAGGATCTGCAGTGGAAGTGGTCTCCAGCTACAAGTACTTGGGTGTACACCTGAATGACAACCTAAGCTGGAGCAACAACACCACCAGCCTGATCAAGAAAACACATCAGAGACTCTGCTTCCTCAGGCAGCTGAGACGAGCTGGACTGGGAAGCTCAGTACTCACCTCCTTCTACAGGTGTGCAGTGGAGAGCATCCTGTGCTCCAGCATCAACATGTGGCATGGAGGCTGCACAGCTGCAGAAAGAAAAGCTTTGCAGAGAGTGGTGAAGGCTGCACAGAAGTCTGTTGGAGTCAGCCTCCCCACCATCACAGACATTTACACCTCTAGCTGCAGGAAGAGGGCCACCTGCATCATGAAGGACCCCACTCACCCAGCACACACACTTTTTGTTCCGTTCCCCTCAGGAAGGAGGTTAAGGAGCATTAAGTGCAGGACCACTAGACTGAGGAACAGCATTTATGTCTAACCAGGATAATCACTGTGAAAAATCACATCATGTTGCAGCTGATCTGTTTCATGTTGTTGTGTTCATGCTTGCTCATCTGCTCACACAAACTCATGTTCAACATAATGTTTTTATGCTTAGTGTATTGTTTAGCTGATGTTTTTCTTAGTTCCTATCTTAGACCTTATTACTGCTTTTCTTTTATATTTTATTGTTGGATGTAACTGGGACCCTGTGTACATAATCTCGTTCCACCACATGTACCACATGAGATGTGAATGACAAATAAATCTCTGACTCTGACAGAGAGCAGGAGCAGGTTTTCCAGAGTTTGGGATCTAGCTGGAGGATCTCAGTGCTTTATTAGGGATAAAAAAAATTAAAAAAAAAGTTTAAAAAAAAGTTCAGTTAAATAATTGGGAGCCAAGCCATTCAAAACAAACAAAAAAAAAAGAGTAAAATGAACAGGCAGCCAGTTTGCTAAAAACTGAGACAAAGATGTCTTTGCTATGAAATTTTTGGCCATAGTTGTTTTAAGGCGGCAGCAAACCACTTGGTCTTGTCTACTTGCCAGTTCAGTCAGAATTTTGTTCCTGTGAGGGGTGACCTTGCACAACACTAGTCTGTGGAGACGCACAAAAAAGATACTTAGGTTTAATTTACCATTTTCAGCCTCTATACAAACTAAACAAATACAAGACTCTTGCCAAACTTCAGTGTGGGCAACAAAAGATTGCCATGCCATACGCCTCACTGCTACAAATGAGGTATAGTAGTCACTTGGCTTCAAGGCTGTTGTAGCTAATCTTTAGGAGCTTACTCAACTTTTTTTTTCTTTTTTTTTTTTGGTGTGCTGGGTTTTTATAACCAGCACCAATGCTCTAGAATGCTCCTCAAACAAGTGCTAAAAGTTTGGTTCCTTTAGTGAAGTCAGCCTTCAGCTACAGAGGAAAACAAACCTAATTCCAGCATCTAAAACAGGCAGAGGGGAGATAAGCACAATCCAGGGAAAATTGGTAAGCTTTCACGACTTTTTATATCTGGCGATACAGCCATTTTTTATGTAACAACACATTACAAATAATCTTGTTGCTGCTGGGCTGATTTAGACAAAGGTGTATTCCACAAGAGAATGCTAAGCTTAGTCTGTTTTGCCCTGTATGTTTGATCCTTGATGAATCAGAGATGTCAAAAATTGGAAAAGGATTTGAGAATGGGGCCAAATCACATTTACTCACACAAACAAACTCTTGTCTCATTTAAGCTGACAAATACAAATTCATCAGAACTGTATTACTTAAAATGGTTTGAAAAGACAGCAAATTATTGTCATAAGACAATGACAAGAGATCAGAAGAAACAAAAACTTTAAACTTACTGAGCCTAAGGTTCAGAAAACAATGGTAGGTACAAAAATCTAATTATAAGTAAATTATCTTCAAAAATGTAAAAAAAAAAAAAAAGTTAATTGGCAGGGGAAGTGGGTCCAGGACATGATGGGCGGGAAGTATGGGATTGATCAATAGATGCTTAAACAAAAAGGTTTAAGGACAAGAACAAGTACCACTGACGAGACACAGACTAACCGTCTGGGCAGAACAGCAAGGGATGGAAAACAAAAGTAAAGAAAAATATTCTAAATAAGACAGGAATTAAGGGTTGTAATACAAAGTAGAATTAACACTAAACAGGATCTTAAAAGAAACTACAAAATGGTAACAGGCCAAAGAAACAATAAAACCAAGCCTACATCCAGCCACACCTACAGACTCCCTTCTTCTTTCCAGTGTTGTGGTGTCTATTTTCAGCAGACACTGTGCAAAAAGTGGGGTAAGTCTTGGATAGATTGCAAGTCCATCGCAGAACCAAACCTTCAGACCACAGCATTAAAAAAAATGCAACTCCCCAACTTGTCAACTAAAGTAAATGTAAGTACTTCTTGTACAGTCTTTGCCCATCACTTTTGAATAGCAGTGCTCCATACCTACCCAATTTCTCTCAATTTTAATTATTGTCTCTAGTCCCCCTACCCACCTTCATCCCCCCAAAGTTTCTGCTCTGTACTTTCTCACTTGCCTGCACTAATCCTTTTGTTGTGCACTGAGGGGCCCAGGCTTTGACTATTAGGCACTGTAAGGACTGGTTCTGTGGAAGGGTTGCCTGCTGAGTCTTCTTGTTCTCCATCAGATCAGGCATACTTTTACTACTGCCTCCCTGCGCAAGAACAAATCACTGCTCTTCTCTATTGGTAGCTTAAGGTTTATTATGGTCGTTAACTTTCCTTCAGATCTCGTTTTTGATTTTCGTGATCATGTATTCTGACATTCACTTTTGTGTTTCAGTCCCCTAGACAGTCCTGGGAGCTTGAGAGCGTCTGACAGCGCTGATAGGAACATGCACTTTAGGAGCACTGCTCCATGTTTGGTGCTACTGCTGCATCTTTTTGTGTTGGAGCGAGTGCTAGAAAGCAACGCGCAGGACCAAGACTACCTCCAGGAAGCTCTCAGGACTTTGAATCTAACTCTGGGGAGTGATGACAAGTTTCGGCTCCAGAAGAACAGAACCAGCGACCTGATTACCAAACTGCTCCGAGATGTACATTGTGCAGAGAGGACTGGCATGACCCAGAAAATGTGTGAGAAAGTAAGATCTACACCCTTCTTAATCTTATAATGGAGGAACCAGTGAAAAATAAACTTTGCATAAACAGTTTGATTTGATCTCATATTCTGGTAAACATTATTATGGCTGGAATGTGTGGAGACTTAAGCCCTTGATCTCTATTCATGCTGAGTGGCTTTAGATATGCCTTGGTTTGGCAAATTGAACTCCATAGAGTGGATTTACCGGCAAGGCTTGTTGATTAAGTGGACCGTCAATCGGATTATATGTGTCAAGCTTTGAAAGTAAGATTTCTAAATAAGAGCAACTGCTTACATAGGCTGCTTCTTATGACTTTGATTGTTTTACCAACTCTCTAAGCTTTTAAAATATGTTAGTAGGTCTAGCTGGGCTTGGTTGTTAAATTCACAACATAAACCCTTTTTTTTTCCTCCAAAAAAGCACCTTACATTGACTGCAGACAGAATATGTTTTTAGTTTGTCAAGGTGACCCATTTTTCAGTACATCATGATTAAGTGCCATTATTGGTCAATTTCCTCTTAATAAAACTTGCCGTGTTTAATTCTATGTCTTTTGTTTCCAGTGCCTGACACCAAGCATCGTCCTCTCTGTGCTTGAGGATGGTGATAGCATTTATCTCAACGAGGCAGATTATCAGCGAATCTCAACTGTTCTGTTGTATTACATAATTAACTTGGAACATCAGTGTGTTTCAAACGACACCTCCCTTTCCTTATCATATGGGAGTTTAGAGTTCTACCTTCTGGCTCTAACCAATCTGGAACCAGCTGAGGACAATCACTTCCTATCACACAGCGAGATACAAAGTATTTTACAGCTCATTAACCAACACTACCACCCTTCCAAACAGGACGTATTGGATTTGCCAGTAAGGAAGTGTTTTTAGACAGATGTATCCTATTGAAACACATGCAGATGTACGTATGAATGTTTCGTCTTTGCTTTCAGTGTATTGACTCGGCTCGCCTTTTAGAAGATGTTGACGCAGAGGGAAATCCAGGTGTTAGAGTAACTCTGGTACCCAAAGTAGCAGCAATCATAATCAGCTACATCCTGCGTGGATACTGTTTCACACAGAGGAACCTCCCATCTCCCACCTTCTTTACAGATTACATTTTTCAATCTCTAAATTCTACAAACAACCTTCAGATAATTGGTAAGTTAAACAAAGTTCAGTACTTTGTCCCAACTTTTTAAATACCGTCTTGTTAAAAAAAAAAAATATGAAGAGCATCCTGTTACTAACTACAGTACTTAGCAACATAGCATAAAGTAGGACTCAGACACTTATAATTAAATGTATGGATCATCAGCAAATGTGAGCACCTTATTAAAAGTAGACGATTTGGCAATTTGGTTGTCTGGAATATTCATGTTTGAGTAAATGAAATGCCAAGTAGGATAGACACGAGCAATTATTATTCTTTCATAATTTGTTAGAAAGGTTTGTCAGGGGAGAAGTTTCTTGTTACAAATAATGTGTTTTCTTGGCTGAAGCTTGTAAAGATATATTTAAAAGAAAAAAAAACTTCTGGAACATCTTTTGGACAGATGAGTGCAAATAGGTTCGGCCATACTGCACAGCACCCCTTTTGAAGAAACCAAACACAGCACAGATGCCTCCGACCACTTGTCAAGCACAGTGGCAGTTGGTGATTTAGGCTGATTTTTACAGCCACTAGTCCTGGGCATCTTGTAGTCTCTGAATCAACCACAGACTCTATGACTCATTTGGTCAAATGTAAGACCATGTGTTTGGTAACAGCTAAAACTAGGTCATCAAAGAGGACACAGTAGCCAATCTACTATTAAATGGCTAAACAGACCAATAAAAATCAAAATGTTTAAATGGCTCAGTCAAAAAACAGAAAGCAACTGGTTTGAAAACGGTATGAAATATTTACTGTATCTCCAAGTTTATTATACCTATATTTCATGTGATACATTATGAGTACTTATGGCCTCTCATGTGTCAAAATATAGCCGTTCAACTGGGTTTCATAAAAATAATGAATCCAACAATAAAGTCTAACCATGTGAAACTTCTGCATCTGTTTAGACATAGGTATATGAACAGCTTGAACCACAAAGCATCCCTTATAAATTATTATTTTTGTCTTCGTCATTTTATAACTATAATAAATAAAGTGCTATGTGTTGTCATCATTGTATGTTTCCATACAATGGCGAAATTAGTTCTCTGTATTTAACCCATCACACCTGGGATACACCCAGGTGGAGCAGTGGGCAGCTATGTATCGTAGGTGCTTTGGGGGCAATTAGAGATTGGATGTTTTGCTCAGAGACGCCACAACATGTGGGAATGGCTGGGAATTGAACCTGATCCCAGTTCGGCTGACCTGCCTTTACCCCATCTCAGCCCCTAAATATAATGTTGTGAAGGAGGAAGTCTTGATGCCAAAACTGACACTATCTTTGGACTTTTTTCTGCTTAGACCTGGAGAAGCTACTTCGTCAGTTAGGCGTAGGAGCAAAGCACCACAGGAAGAGGCGGAGCAATAAAGGAAGCACACAAGACCTGTCTATGAAGTCACTGGAAAACAGCGGCCATAAAACTGAGAAAGGATGGGAACAGGTGAGGAAGAGAAGAACATTTATGTTTAAGAAAATTTTTAAAAATGTGTTTAAACTACTTGCAGATAATTTGAACCTCGAGTTCAAAGGCCGTCTGCTCATTTCCACATCAGTTTATATTTTTCAATTGAACCCATTCAGGTGTGTTTTTCAGCAAAACAGTTGGTGGATATTTTTGATCTGGACCCTCATTTGCCCATTTCCAAGATGCACTTCAGACAAATCTGCCCTGCCATTATTCAGCAGTTGCTATGCAATGCCTGTGGATCAGTAGAACAAAAAACAGGAGGGTCTCCACCAACTGCTATAGAGAGTAAGGCAGTCTTCTAATTGTGATTTGAGTTTAGCAAGGATTTGTTATTATTTAACAATGGTTTGAACAAAGAAAGTATACTCAAAGATTCCTCCTTCCTGCAGAGTACGGCTACAGCACGACTGCTGTCCTGGTCATCACAGTGAGTTCCATGTTGGGTATCTGTCTGGTGTTTTTTAACTCCTGTCAGGAGACCTACACACTCATCCTGCAGCTGTTTGTGGGTCTGGCAGTGGGAACACTCTCAGGAGATGCTCTCCTGCACCTCATACCACAGGTGCAAGACCTCCACAGCACTAAAACTAGTCAAACGTGTGCTTTAAGGGTGAAAATAAACATGCTCATTTTTGTGTCCTGTGCAGATCCTTGGTCTTCATGATGGAACTCACAGTCATGATGAAGAACTCTATAATGAAGACAAGGCATATTTGTGGAAGATTCTGTGCTTGATTGCTGGGATTTATGGATTTTTTCTTATTGAAAAAGTATTTTCTTATTTAGTCCCTTCTCATGCCCATGTGAGTTTCTTCTTTCCCCCTTTTATAAATTTACTGACACTGAAAAAAGATAGTTCTCCATGAGAAAAGGGCTGAAACTGCAGCAGATTTTTTTTTAATCTGGCTGTTAAACTGTGAGAGTTTTGCAAAAACAAACACATTTGTCATGACAGTGCACATTAAGGAACAATGGTCCAGTGATGTTATTTTGTTTTTAGGGTCACTCCAATGACCTTCCCTTAGAACTGACCTGCAATGGCCAGTCACAGAGGGGCAAGTCCATTTCCACCATCCAGTTGGTGAGTCTCATCTAATCTTTCACTAAACTGGTATTTTGTGGAGGATTCTTGGCAGAGAAATCCTTATTCTTGTTACCATCCCTTTTATATCCATTGTGATAAAATGGCAGTCCTTGGAAAATTTGGAAATTCCTTAAAACACAGACACAAATAAGTTAGAGGAAAAAAAATGCCTAGAACTATAAAAAACCATGTAAAAAAATACTGAGATTCACTTTAATCCTTCCTGCACGGTTGTTATATAACCTTACAAGTGAAGAGGTGTGGGAGTGAAAAAAGAAACAAACATGTAGGAGGATGGAGCATGAACACAATTACTTCTTTTTTTTTTCCAGAAAGCTTGTGTTGTATTATATATATATA